TCATTGTCTTCTTCAATGAGTTACTGCCACATCTTCAACCTGCTGTACCCTACTGGTCACGACTTCCCACTATAATCCCATGTTAACTGCCCGAATAGGGCCAGTCGCTAGTTAACATCAAATGAAATTTCAGGTATTGGTTTTGTAGAGATTTTTGTTTGTTTGATTGCATGGAGGATTTCATCATGAGCTGACATCAAAACCTATACCTGAATATTCCTTTTTTCAACGGTTCACAAATGTTTGCACTATACATAATTGACAATTTCCTTTGTGGGAACTTAAATAGGCAGTGGAGAAACCAAGCATAAATACAACACGCTATATACCACGCTGAATGATTGGAGTATGTGTAGCTGAAGACCTCCACGAGGTAATCTAAGCACCAGACAGTCGTTTTTACTCGTTTAGGGCCGAACTCATCACTGATGTTATCGGTTTGATTCATCTCAGAGAATAATTGAATCCGTCTAAACCATCCAAGTTCAAATACTCTGCTTTGTAGAGTTTAACATTCTATCTATTCAATACTGACAAGTATATTTGTGTTTGTGGGTGTATGTTTGAGGAATTCAATTATAAACTGGGCTTTCCCCTTTTATTTTTCTTATTTAGCCAGTAGCAAATAATGATGTTACCCAGGTTATATAATTATGCAGATCATGAGTTCATTTATTTGTTTATTTATTGATCAGACATTGAAGAATTTACATAGTAATTAATATTCACCACCCCATAAAACCTCAATAATCAGCCAGTTGTACACCTAGATACACAAATTCCTGTTTTGGTTACCAGGGATTTTGGAAAGTTTTTATTTCTCAACTGTTAGTAGTCGGTGAATGATTATACCTTCTTACTAAATAAATAATTATATTGATAATATGATAATAGTAATAATAATTTGTTTTGGTTAAATTGAAAAAATCAGGCCATCAACATCCTCCGCCTCCTCGTCCTCCTGACCAGTCATTAATCTGTGCTATTTCCTTGTTCTTCTTGTTTGTATATATGCTGTTCGCGTATTTCATCTAATAATGTGATTATCCTTGTTGGATTTTTTCTCTCCCTCTCTTTTTTTCGATCACCTGACCTTCTCTGTGGTTGGTGCGCATTGTTGCGGAAAATTGGCAAATGAGGCGGAAGAATTTTAGTCGCTTTCTTTAGAAAGGGTGGAGTAGGCGTGTTTGTATGTGTGTGTGTGGTGCTAACTCAGTTTTACCTTACTCCTCTGACTTGTAATTTCTTATCAATTGCGTATATGTATGTCATGATGTGCTTGTGTGTGTGCGTGTGCGTGTGTATGTTTGTATGGACAGTGTTCCTACTCTTTCACTATTATTATTCATTGTATTCTAGCGTGCATATACATTTAAAAAAGAATTTCTATCCGAATTTCATTCTTTTTCATCCCGGCCTTGTTTTCTTTCTTGTTTATTCTCCTAACTCCTAACTGACTAATGATTCAATTTTTTCTCTTTCTTTCTATCCCTCTTATAAACCAAAGAATTTCATCGACCAAAAAGCTGGAATAAATTTGATTTAATGATTAGTCATAAATGCGCGCATACAAACACAATGAATGAATGAATGAATGGAGGAAGCAGAGATGATCTAATTTTATGATCATTAAAGTAAATAATAATAATAATCATCATAATAATAATGATAATAACAATCACAGTGATTGTAATGACAATCAATTTAGGTAATTTATTAGTAATGAATTTCTCAATTTATCTGTTCACTTCAAAAATCGAAGTAAAACTGGAGTTATTCTGAGTTACTAACACTCACACACACATACATACATACACTCTCGCGTATACTAAGTATATAAAATAAGAAAATGGAATATCGACATTCTTAACAGATTTGTGCGTCAGCTAGTCTTATCTTGTCTTCAACCACAATTCTGTCCTTATTCACATATTATTCGAATAAAAGATAGTGATCAGTTGGGATAGATACCGACTGAAGACATTGGTTGGCATTGGTGGCACAGTGGTAGAATGCTTGCCAACCATGCAGGTGTTTTGGGGTTCGATCCCGGCCGACTCACTCTTGTACCTCGCTAAGCCAGTAATAAGACTGATGAATAGGGAAAGTTGGGCATGAGGCCAGCAGCAACCTTATATTGTAGAAATAAACACTCCTTGCTACCGAAACTTCAAGCCTATAGCTTGAAGCCCTTTGTTCTACTGGGAACGTAAAGGAATTATATATATATATATATATATATATATATATATATATCTTACAAAATGGTTACTTCGTTTCCATAGAGACCTGTTACTGATCTTTTCTGGCCGGCCATCTGATCTTCAGTGGTACTGAGCGAAGACAACTGTTGATGAAAATCTGTAATTTGTTTGAAGTGCCCTTCGTGACGCGCTGGTGAAGTCTCTGATCCATATAGTAGCACTGACTTCATATTAGAGTGTAAAATCCGGATGTCATTTTTTATGCTGAGTGGTGTTGACCTCCACACTGACTTGAGAGTAATAAAAGCTCGCCTTGCTTTCCCGATCGCCGCTTTGATATCCTCATCACTTCTGTCCACCTGTGGTTGAGACGATGCTTCCCAGGAAGTTAGTAGGTGAAGGAGGTTGTTTCTTTCAGATTTCTCCCATTCATGCTGATTGTTGTCTGCTGTTGTTGTTGCTGTGGCTGGTGGTCAGTAATGTTCATCACCTCTGTTTTCCCTATGTTCACTTGAATTTCTATCCAACTAGTCTCAACTCACTAAAAACCACGGCCACCATTTTCTGTCTCTTAATCACCTACTATCCAGTGCCCATTAGAGACTTAATTACAGCGTTATACACATGAAAAGTATATTTACCGACCCTTGCTACCAAATGACATTCGTACCAATTCAGGAGCCCTAGAAATCAATCAAATACAGTTCCTACTAAAATGTTCTGTTTTTTTGCATAACTTTGGCTTGTCGTTATCCTCATCTACGCAGTTACACAACGTACATCAGTTTTATCTAGCCGTCTTCTTGACATTTACAGATGATGGAGGTATAGTGTTTCTTATCTTAAAAAACCCTTTTGATAGACCATTTATCTACACCATGAAATTTTTCATGTTGCTGTATGATGATGGCCCCCACTTTTCCCTGAGAAACCTGTCATTCATATGAAGTAATTTCTTACACAGTAAAGAGTCTTCAGACTTTTGTTTTTGGACTCTTGCACAGTTTGGAAGCTAGACTATTTACTTCATAATGGGCCGGTTGAAAGGACTGTAAAAGTTACAAAAACTCAGAGCTAAACATAAGCATTCGTTAACCTTCGAGAAGAAAAACAAATAAATGTGATATCTCCTTTGATGAATTCCTCTTAGAAAGCTTCAGTCAGTCAGTCAGTCAGTTTACAAGTAAAGTCTTTCGTTATCTCCACATTTCCCCACTCACTTACAGCCAAACAAATCAAAAAATAAAAACTGAATTTCGTGACCACCAAACTTGAGTAGCATAGTGGAAATATTCATTGTGAATGTGAATCAAGACCATGTATATTAACATGGGAGATGAGATGAGACCAACATGTTCTTTGGTTGTGTTATTAAATTACATAAGTTGGTCACCTCTTATAATCCATCACTCAAATATTCGCTTTCTTTATACAAGAATAACTGTAGAAATGAAGAGGAATCAGTTCAATCAACCCTAGAGTTGTTTATCTTTCAAATAGGGGGTCCAACTAATTGACCTGACTATCAGTCACATTTAAGATTCAATTGAATCTCCAAGTTAGTTAATTATTTCTCTTCAAATCACGGATAGCTGGACTTTAGATTAATTATTTTCAGGACTCTATATCAACACACATTCAGGATTCCATCTGGAATAAAACCCAAGATCTTCAGATCACGAGGCTAAGCTCGTTGACCATTCAGCTAATTGGGACGGAATTCAATGACTCATGAATTCTAACTTCCACCAGTCCGCGATTTTAGTGCCACCGTCAGCCACTGTTACTGACGAGTATTTATCCTCTCACAGTACCTGGTGGACCCCACTGGTCACGATTTCTTCAATAGAACTCCAGGAAACTTCACCTTGTAGGCAGTCACAAACGAGTATCAAATTAATCTTCAAGAGTTAGTTTGTAAGGACTTGATTTGTTTCAATTTTCATCATGGACTGATATCAGATCTTAGATTTTATCTCTGATGGGGTCTTAGGTGCATACTGATGAAAAGTCCCGAAATAGTCTGACGAGACAGCTGTCCAGTACTCTCACGTTCTCCAGTGATTCTGTAACCGATATTAGCTCATGAAGAAATCCTGTAATCAATCAGTCAATCAATCGGATCCCTAGAAATCAACACTTGAGAAAGATTTCGTTTTTTACAGGATTTCATCATGAGCTGACATCAGTTACAGAACCACTGGAAAACCTGGGAGCACTGGACAGCTGTTTCGTCAGCACAGTTTGCCACTCTTCAGCAGTTCGCACTCAGTACGCTACGGGTTCGAACCCAGGACCTTCTGGTTACAAGGCCAGTGAGACCGTAGACCATTGAGCCACTGGGACCCGATCCAACTTCTAACTTCTTCCAATTCACGACATAGCGCGACCACTTCACAATGTTTTCGTCGATGAGTTACTGCCTCATCTTCAACCTGTTGTACCCTACTGGTCATATTTTTATCCTAAAACCACCTTTACTAATTGGTGTAATAAGTAGAAAGTGTTGAGCCTGTTTCACCTCGAAATGATACTGTTAGAAGTTGAGGGAAAGTATTGCCGCCGAAACTCAACGCCAAGAAAAAATTCGATAATTAAGTTACACACTGAATCGCATAGATACTATTCGATTCTTTGCACAAACGACTACCATATGGACAAACCTCTACACGTGAGAGTATATAAAAGTATCTTTCAAAAGACAGATCACATATTTAATTGATTGCATCTTTATTACTGTTCATAATTAATAATTGTAATGATAGTAATAATAATATTAGTAATATTTACAGGATATTTTTAGATATACAGTGTACAGTTCCATGCCTTTTTGTTCTGTTTTGTAAATTATACACTAGTAATAAGCACATCTTTCAGTAGACCAAAAAGGGGAATTCAATTTCCTTGACACTAAAGTTTATTTTCAACTAATCAGCCTTATGCTCATCGTCTAGGTATCAAGTTAGGTTAAAGTTGGTGTGATGAAATAAATGTGAATAAAAATTACTTGAAATTAATTAATTAATTATTTAATTAAAGTAACGTGAAAAATCATAGTAACTATTACTACTTATATTATTATTGCTATTGCTATTGATAGTAGTATTGTTGTTAACACAAGTTGTATTCTGTGCAACTAAATTATTTAAATCAAAGTTGACCGCTGTATTATTGTTATTATTATTATTTGCAGAACAAGTAGAAGAAGAATGAGACAATGATAACGATGACGATGAAGCCGAAGCTGAAGGAGAACATGATGTTTGTGCAGTAACAGGTGAGGCAGAAGAGTTAGACATAAGATTAAATTCTGAATTGACTACACCTAGATGACCACCATAGTTTATTGGTGTCGATTCAAGAGAATTGACCACTGTATCAGGAGGATTGGAGGATAGCAATTTTGATTTTGGTGTTAAACAGTGTACAGAAGTGAAATTTGAAGTATTATTATTATTGTTATTCCAAGCTGCCACGGCTGCTGCAGCGGCGACTGCCATAGAGGATAGTTGAGTTGAAGTGTCTGGAAGTAGTTGGGGTAATAAATCAGAATTCGAATTACCATTTTGTCCATTAGAAACAGAAAGATCATTATTGGGGAGAATAGAAGATTGTTGTGATAGTAGAGGTGGAGAACAAATTCCAGAATCAGTTGAAAGAGTACTCGGTTGTGGATAAGTTATTCCAGACCATAATACAGGATTAGATTGTTCCTTTTTATAATTTTGTATTTGATCAGTTGAATTAAGCCATATTGGTTGATAGTTTGTTGAGTGTCCAGTCAAAAGATGGGATGCTTGTGATTTATTGATCAGTTCTGAATCAACTTGTAATTCATGACTATGTGACATGTCATAGGAATCATTTCTGTTAGATGTATGCAGTCTGTTGACAGTGACATTATTACTGGTCTCCTGTAGCTGATTATAAGGCGGTAGACAATTTAATTTAGAAAATTCTGAATTCATAAATGCTTCTTGATGCATTTTGAAATGTGGTGGGACTTCATTACTCTCTTTATGATCAATATCATCAACGTCGTTATAATTCTTAACTGACATTATTTTTGTATGGTCATTTATGTCTATCTTAGTGGATAAACCGCCTTGATCTTCACTTGAAATATGGCATTGTTTCGGTTTGTTTAAATGATGAATATTTGATGGTGAATTCATACGTGTCACATCATTTAGTAAAGTATAACTTTCTGTTTCTCTAAGATGATTAACTGCGTCCAAATGATTTGGGATGTCAAGCATAGTATTGAAATGTTCTGAATAGTCCAGTTGTTTCTTTGGTGATGAAAGCTGTAAAAGATATCACATAAAAATGAACGAAATAACCGCAGCGGATTAGAATATAACAGAACAGAACAGACCGAAAGTACACCAAAATTAGAAAGTACCATGAAAAGAAATAAATTTCACATTACGTATTTGCTGAATAGCTATAGGAAAAACTGCGTGCTTTCAAGACTTACTTCCTATCTTCTATAGTTTGGTTTGCAAGGGCTAGTTATGTTTTTTCCGAATTGATCAGGGATTGATATCAGTTAGAGAATCATTGAAAACCAGACACAGGGAGTGCTGCGCAGCTGTTTCCTCCCTCCTACTTTGGGAATCATCAGAAGTACGCACCCACCACCTGGGGGTCAAACCCAGGACCTTCCGGTTACAAGGCAAGCTGGCTCGTATACCATTCAGCCATTGGGACCCGATTCAGTGGCTCAAAAATGTACTCTGATTCTCGCTAGTGACTTGCTACAGGATGGAGTTTCCTGGAGTTTTGGAGAGAAGTCGTGACCAGTGAGGTTCAGTTAGATGTCACGTGTGTGGATGGATGTCCCACAAACGACAACGGTTAGGGTCGTGCTAAAATCACGAATTAGTAGAAGTTAGAACTTATGGGGGGGCCATTGAATCGGGTCCCAGTGGTTTAATGGTTTACTTCCTATCTAAAATGTTTGGACTTCAGTGAAACTGAATTTTTCGAAAGAGTTATCTGCATCAGCTAAAGAAATATGTTGTGTGGAAAAGTTGAAATGCCTAATTCAGCCTATCCTTTACCATCAGTTAATAGAAATGGCTAGTCGCATCACCACATGCGTTGTTCTAAACGTGAAAACATTGCTGAATAAACATTACACATTGTCTATGATTCCCCTTGTAAAATTAGACAATAAAGTATGTTCTATCAGTAAACGCCATCAACTGCAAAGTTATTATTATTATTTCCTTTAATTCCTAGAAGAACATAGGGCTTCAGCCACACACGTCTCCATTGCGTTCGGTTCTCTGCTAGCGTTTTCATCTGGCTCCAAGTCTGCCCACACGCTTTCATCTCCTCTTCACATGACCTCATTCAAGTTCCCCTCGCACTGACGATCAACTCGCCGCTTCCCATTCGGGTTCCACTCGAGCAATGGCTTGTCTAGTGATGTCACTTGATGGTTTTCTCAGAGTATGGCCAATCCACCTCCATTTCTTCCTGCCTATTTGTTGCACAATCGGTTCCTGTTGGGTTGGTTCGCTCCCAGAGATCCCAGTTGTTGATCTTTTCTGACCGGCCATCTGATTTTGAGTGGTATTGGGCGAAGGTTTGTTTGAGATGCTCTTTATAACGCGTCAAGTCTCTGATCCGTATAGTAAGTGGCACTGACTTCATGTTGAAGTTGAAAATCCGGATTTTATTCTCATTTTCATGCTGAGTAGTGCTGTAGACCTCCACAGAGACTTGAGAGTAATGAAAGATTGTCTTGCTTTCCCGATTCTGGCTTTGATATCCTCGTCAGTTCCGTCCACCTTGAAACGATGCTTCCCAGGTCGGTGGGTGGAGGAGGTTGTTTCTTTCAGGTTCCTCCCATTTATGCTGGCTGATTGTTGTCTGTTGTTATTCTTGTTGGTGTTGGCCAGGAATCTTCATCACCTCTGTTTTATCTATGTTCATCTGAAGGCCCATTTTTGATGCTTCTTCGGCCAACTTGTTGCTTTTCACTTGCATAGCTTCCAGTTTGTGAGAAATCAGACATATATCATCGGCGAAGTCCAGATCCTCCATGTTTTTTGTGTGATACTGCAAAGTTATATACCTATGCATTCAGATTGTATATGAATGAATACATTTTCCGTTACAAATAGTCTATCGATTTTGAAATTCTTAAATGGGACTCTCAGACCTTATGTGTAAGGAGTCTCTATAATGCCAATGTGTACTGTATTTTCAGTTGATTTGAGACTTTGCAAAACTCTTCTATTATTCTCCTCTACGTGAACTTAGCTGAAACTTTCTTAAGTAGCAAAATCACCAAGTCAAAGATAAGTTATCACTAGGCGGAATAAACTTCTTGAAATTCTCATTGTATATTCACACTTACCTCTTGGTGAACCGGTGTAGACATATATGACCAATTCATACCCATGTGTTCTTTACGATCAATATTCATTTGTTCACTTTGTTGTTGATGATGTTGCCGGTTCTGTTGATCAAGTAATAACTGTTGATAATTATGGTACAATGGTGAATAATGATGATTTGATTCCATAAAATTATTAGTATTATTATTAGAATTATTTTGGTCATAATCAAATTTCTGTTTAATTAGATTTATATGATCTAATTCACCATTATTTCGTGTGTATTCTTGCACTTTATTGACTGCTGAACAGTTAGTTCCATAGTGTTGTTGGTCATCACCTTGATTTTCATCTAGGCTAGGTGTACCTGATTTTTCATGTTTATTCAAATTCAATTCTTTGCCTTCACGTCGCCATTTTGCCCGACGGTTTGAAAACCAAACTTGTATACGTGATTCTGGTATACGCATAGATTCTGCAAGTTGTTCTCTAATCAATAGATCAGGATAGTGAGTACGTTCAAATTCTGTAAATGTAAAGCGACAGTATATTAATATTGATACCACACATATATTCCTGTTGTACTAAAAAAAATAGCCGTTTCCTGTAAATTCCAAAACTGATTGATAAATTAGCTGTTATTACATTTTATGTAGTTAATTACTAGAAACAACAGTTGATAACAATCGTCTTCTCTAATAGTTAAATGTAGATTTCGTTACGAACCAATACGAATTGGAGATAACCATGGGCAATGGTTAGCTGTTTCACCCCACTTTGAGACTCCTTAACACTGCGAACCATTGGGAACTCCATCAGTGATCAAATCAGGAATTTTCAGGTTATAAGACAAAGCCAGTTGGCCGTTAAACTCATAATCTAAATTTCTGATACTATTGTAAAAACCACTATTCAGTAAGACAGTTAAGCTCTTTTCATTTAGCATATATATAAACAGATGCCTTCAGTAAAAGAAGTTTCCATTTGGAATGACATAAGAGTGATGAAAACGTTACTTTGAATCCTTCCCATTGTCGGATAGAAGTTTTACTGACACTTTTTGCTCGATTTTGTTAGATTACACCCTAAGTTCATAAACTAAGCTATCAGCACTGTATATTATGTTGTGGTTGGACGTACTATTTAACAGACAAATCTTCAACAGGTGAATGTGATTTCAAGACCCATACTGTGAAATTTAAGACATTTCGAATTCTAAGGCTGCATCCCAACATTATGTAAAGCAGTCTACAGTATTACTTACTGATGACGTCATGATGTGATTATGAGGAATAAGCTGTGCTAAAAACATCGTCATTCAATACTACTGTATCGCTGCATGTTTCTATCAAATAAAATTATTCTTTGATGAAATTATACTCCACAATAGTGCCTTAAACTCCTATACCAGTCTTCTAAGTTTATTTTTAAATTCGTCTCTTAGGCAATTTGTTTTCTGTTTACAAAGCTTGAATTTAATCTTATATTCATATATTTCATTGTTGTAGTGTAATTAAATCTTGCATCGGTGGAGTACTCGCTGCCATGCATGTTGTCTAGGGTTCGAATCCCAGCCAATGCCTTCCTAAACCTCGATAGGCTGGTAGGAAGCCAAGTAGAAAGTAAAGGTTTGGCCCAAGGCTAATAATTTCATCTTGTAGAAAATAAACATCACTGCTAGTGAAACTTCAAAGCTCATGCTTAAGGCTGTATGTTCCACTAGGAAAGCAAAGGAGGAACACAAAAATAAAATAATCACGTAATTTAGCCAGTAACCCAGATATGCGTCGATCATGTCAAGGTAGTATTTGTTCTCTATCTTCATATTGGTCAGCAAGATCTGTGTGGAAAGCAAAACGGCTTGATTAGAGGTTTTATAGTTTTTGTCCTTTGGTGACTAAGTTTTTTTTCCTTCACGTTTCCACTAGAACATTGGACCTCAAGCTAGTGGCTTGAAGTTTCTGTAGCAGTGTTTAATTTTATAGGAGGGGTTGCTAGTCTCATGCCCAACCTTACCTCTTTACCAGGATTATTTCTGGCTTAGCGAGGTAGATAAGTGCATCGGCCGGGAGGGTCTGCGTCTCTCTACGACTAAACCACCAAAAGTTGTATCTGGTAAAGTTGTGAAGAAGGTATCCAAGGCTAAGTTGCCTAAGGTTGACAAGAAGAAGAGGAGGAGGAAGGAGAGCTATTCCATCTGCATCTACAAAGTCCTCCGTCAAGTCCACCCTGACACTGGTATTTCATCCAAAGCCATGTCAATAATGAACTCCTTCGTCAATGACATCTTTGAACTCATTGCAGCTGAGGCAAGCAGATGACTAAGTTGGTTGTCCAAAAATTATGTAATGAGAATTGATAAAACTTACCTTCTTCGAGTATTTCCAACTGTTCAGGAGTGAAAGCTGTTCTATTCCTTCCAGACTTTTTATTTTCATTTGAAGTATTCCCTGTGATCCCTTCCAGCTTTACACTTTCATATACCTTATTGTCACATAATGATGAAGGCATAGGAGGTGATGATGTATGATTATCATAGCTACTAGCCTCTTCATAATCTTGTCGTTGGCTTTGATTTGAAAAATGTTGAGAATTATGTTTAGGTGAAAATTGAGAAAAATTCTCTTTCCCATAAGTTTTCATCAGTATTTCTATCGGTGTAGAGCAAGATTTAGCATTACTATCATTGATATCATTTGGGATAGTTGAGGTAAAATGAGGAGAGGAAAGAGTTGGTTTAGAACAATGATCTGATTGATTTTCTGTACTACTATAGGAATTGCATTGGGTTGTTTGTAATATACCTTGACTAGAAGAATTTTCCATTCTAAACGATTTCATATTTCCTCTGGATTGGTCGTCTGGAACCTCGAATGACTTGATCATTGAGTCTGTTGTAAGTCAACAATAACAGTAAATTGGTTAACAGAATTTCATAATGAGCGGACATTGGTTAGAGAACCATTGGAAAACCAGCTGGGAGTATTGAACAGCTGTTTCCTCCGTCCTAGTTTGGGACTCTTCATCAGTACTCACCCGCCATACTGGGGTTCGAAACCAGGACCTTCTGGTTACAAGGCCAGCGCGCTCATAGACCATTCGGCCACTGAGACCCAATCCAATGGCCAACCCATGAATTCTAAATTGTGCCAATTCACGATATAGCGCAACCGCTAACCAATGTCTTCGGCGAGTATTTGTCTTCACACCCAACCTGCTGCACCCTACTGGTCACGACTTCCCACTGGAACCCCAGGTAACTACCTACCTGAATAGGGCAAGTCGCCAGTGAGCACTCATCGGTCGTGCTAAATCAAGAATTGGTAGAAGTTAGAATTCATGCACTGGCCATTGAATCGGGTCCCAGTGGCTGAATGGTATGCGAGCTTGCCTTGTAACCGGAACGTCCCGGGTTCGAACCCCAGTATGGCGGGTGCGTACTGACGATGATTCCTAAACTAGAATGAAACAGCTGGCTGTCCAGTACTCCTTGTGGCTGGTTTTCACTGGTTCTCTAACTGATATCAATTCGTGATTAACTCGTAAAAACAAAACTAACCCTTACAAACCAAACTATAGAAAAAAAACCTTCCTTTCTCGGAAGAAGCAATAAAGAACTTCTATTGTTTTCTTCTGTTTGAAAAAGGCAGTATGAATACTAAAAGACTGAAATTCTCAACGCGTTCAAAAGTGGCTTTTATCACATAGAATATAACAAGCCTTTTTTAAACGTGATAATTACTGCAACTTCTTAGATAATATATAAGTCAGACTGTGTATCGTCTCTACTCTTAATAAACTTTTTGAAGTGTTGGAACATTCATTACCTATATATTTCATATTTAACGAGATTCGTAGATGATGACATTCCTGATTGCGGCCGACTGGATCGTGTTAGAAACTGAGGGTAGCAAAAAGACAAGGGTATACTGGATGGACAAGAAGACTCTAGAGGATACGAACTTTCGTAGACGATTTATTTCTAATATTGTAGCAACAGAAGGCAAGACACGGAAGCCAAGGTATATTTTCTCATTGATCAAATCGCTGTTTATTTATCTACAGTTTATATTCGTCAACCAGTCACTAAGCGTGTGATTTCGGTTTACATCAAACGACAAAAGATAGAATGTTCAAGTATACATAGTATTCTGTTGCAAATGCAGTATTGAACTGTGAGGAAGTATTCTGTCTTTAACATGAAATAGATATATCGTATACTGTGATTAATACCGAAATGAACTGTGGGAACATACGAGAATAACATTCCGTTGGCACACATTGTCTGTATCACACTACAACAATATTACACAGACTTGAAGATCTACAGAAGAAAGCTAACAAGTTGGCAGAAGAGTCTCGCAACGAGGACAGAACTTTATTAAAGGGGATATAAAGAAGATAGATGCGATAAAGATACCGAATAAAATAACAATAACATTAGGCATCACTTTTCACCATCGATGATGGAAATGTGAGAGAGATCATAGCTTTCACCTACCTATGGATAAAGATGTCAGAAAAGCGAGAGAAGGCTCCATTAGTTTGAGACTGGTGTAGGAATTTACTGCATTCAGAGTAAGGAAGAAGATCATGATTTTTAACACTAATGTCTAATTACTCAGGACTTCTGTATTCTGTTTATGAACTTGGCGCGTGTTTCAAACAGATCGCTGAATAGTGAAAATCATATGACTAGAACTGATAAGCAACAAGGAACGGAGGCAACGAAAGAAACAATAATTTATTGAAGCAAGAACAACAGTGGTTTGTGCAGAATAATATGGTACCATCATCTATTTCGTTGGCTTCTCATCAGCTGCTTACAGCTTTCAAACTTTTTAGATGCTGTCAACAGATGATGAGAAGCCAACGAAATAAATAATGGTACCATATTATTCTGCAACTGTTGTTCTCGTTTTTTTCAAATTCATAAAGGGGAATAAATGTAGGAAGAATTTATCGACCAACAGGTATGAGAAGGGAATGGAGATGGATTTGTTACTTTACTGAATAGACTGTTGAGTGGCATGATTCTGGAGGCAGGCACCGAAGTGATACCTGAATAGGAAGTTGAAGACGGATTTCATGTGAGGAGGTAGCAGAAGCTTATGGGCAATCGGAAAGCCAGCTTGAAGGACTTCATAGAACACAGTGAAATAGTGATGTGCTACTGAACTCCTGTACTTCATTTAAAACCCAAGGGAATAATAAAAAAACACATTCTTTTTAGCAGAATAAAACAAAACTAACACCTTAACTTACTTGATCTGCTGGCTTTTTCGTCCATCTCAGTATGGGAATGATTCAGCAATTGTTGACGTTTCTATCACAAATTTCAGGTCTTTCAGATGATTTTCTATTTAAATGTAGACATGTGGACTTGTCGTACAATTGATTTTGTGTCTCTGACTTAGATGTTAAGTCAATTTCAGACTCTGTGCATCCATATAGCTTGGAGTGGTTCCTTGTTAATAAACTGAATTCATCATTTTTACATAGTGAATTCAAGTTATGGTTCACATGCTGTTGTTGTTGTTGGTGGTGGTGGTGGTCTTGTTGCATTTTAATTTGATCAGGTAAATCATCTAGCTTCTTAGTTTCACAGTATTTTAAACTGTTTAAATCACTTGTTAAAGACTGATGAGCTAAGTTAGAAATATGCTCTTTAATAATGTTATTGTTCTCCTCATTGGTACTTGTATTTGCTTGATTAAACTGTAAAAAATCATTTCCATTGGGTAGAGTAAAACCACTTGTAACATTGTTCATATAATCTGAAGGCTGTCTGGAGTCATTGTTTTCTGATAAAAAATTATTTCTTATGCTATTGTTAATATTCAACTGGATAGGAGGTGTATGATTATCAGAGGACGACGATGATGAGGTATACCATGATGGCCAATTCGCATGATGTAACAAATTTGAAAATGTATCATACATGTTAACTGATGATTGAAATGAAGGTGAGCCTGTAGAATTGTTCGCCACCCCATTCATTTCATTCAAACGATCCTGATAAACAAGTGAATCGTGTAGACTTGAAGGTAGAGCATTTTGTTGAGCAACAGCCACAGCAGCAGCAGCTGCAAATGCAGCTGTATGTGGATGATGAAATCGAGGTGGTGATGTTTGCGGTGATCGAGAAGGCATATTTAATCCTCCTGTCGATGCTTGATTAATTGCTAGAGGGAGTGGACAGTTTTGTTTATTACTTGGATTTGTTTGTGACATGATACGATGTAGTTGAGGTGAGGGGAAATCAACCATTGGTAATCGATTTAACGGTAAACTGAGGTGATGATGATGATGATTTTGAGGATAAGAATGATGCATTAAATTCTCATGGGAATGGAGTGAATGCTTATTAGTGACTGAATTTATTGATTGGACAGTGGGATGTTCATTTTGTGGGCTGTTAAGTCCAAGTGAAAGCGGAAGTTGATTATCATTACAGACATTCCGAAGTACTCGGTTAATTGATGATACCTTCAATTTACAAGCAGTAAGAAAAAAGAAAACAACACCTTATCAACAGATCTCATCATTAATTGTGATTTAAAACAAGAAAAAAATATCCAAGTGTTGGTTTGTAGGGATTTGACTGTTGCAGGATTTCATCATGAACTGACACTGATTAGAGAATCATTGTAAAAACCAGCTGAAAGTACTGGACAGTTGTTTCCTCCGTCCTGGTTTGAGATTCTTCGTCAGCACGCATCCAACAACAGGGTTGGAACCCAGGACCTTCTGGTTACAAGGCGAGCTCGTAGACCATTAAGCCACTGGGACCCGAACCAATGGTCACCCCATGAATTCTAACTCCTGCCAATTCACGACATAGCGCGACTTCTAGAGGAATCCCGGTGGGTGCGTACTGACGAAGAGTCCCAAACTAGGACGAAGGAAACAGCTCTCCAGTACTCCCACCTGGTTTTCCAATGGTTCTCTAACCAATGTCAGCTCATGATGAAATCCTGTAACTAAAAAATATCATTAAATGAAGCACTTTACTGGAGAATGGTGAAAGAATAAATTGATATACAAAGTATCTGAATTTTCATCTTATTCTTGGTCCAGAGAGAAAGATGGTGTTTTAAACTTCGATTCTTATCTAACTATGCCGTCATTTACTGGGTTAACATTAATGTAAATTTCGTCATTGACCAACACCGCTCAGGGATCATTGTAAACCAAGCAGCACTGGACACTTGTCTCATTCTAGTTTGGGCATCTATAACAGTGCACACCCATGACTCTATCTACAGTTGAACACGAGATCCTCACTTTACGAGACCGAGCTCGCTAACTGCTCAGCTAAATAGGCCGAAATTCAATTACCCATGAGATCTCACTTTTGTTAATTTGTAATATAGGGCCACCTTCGCTGAGTGTCCATTTCACATTGACATGGCAGACCCCACTGGTCAAGAATTTTCAATACAGATTCAGAACATACATCCAGTAACTATTGGATTACAGGATTTCATTATGAGCTGACATCAGGTTAGAGAACCACTGGAAAACCAGCAAAGAGTACTATATCCGGCGGTTTCGTCCTAGTTTGGGACTCTTCACAGTATGCATCCACCTCCATGATCCGAACCCAGGACCTTCTGGTTACAAGAAGAGCGAGCTCGTAGACCATTCAGCCACTGGGACCCGATCCAATGGCCAACCCATGAATTCTAACTTCTACCAATTCACGACATAGCGCGATCACTAGCTAATGTCTTTGGCGAGTATTTGTCCTGACACCCGATGTGCTGCACCCTACTGGTCACGACTTCTCACTGGAATCCCAGGTAACTACCCAACCTGAATAGGGCAAGTCGTTATTGAACATCTCATTGATATTTAAGTGTTGGCTTGTAGGGATTTGATTAGTCGGTTACAGGATTTCATCATATGCTGACATTGGTTAGAGAAAAATGGCTTTAATTAATTTTAATATCTTCTAAGTAGACAAACTGCTAAAGGTTTATAATTAAGAAATAGATACCCACTTTAGAACTATAACAATTAGCTTTCCAGTGTAAAATTCACTATGCATACGAGCGAACAGTGCCTTTGCCTTTCCTTAGGCATTGTGGAGAGCTCAATTGAAGGAGGAATGGAAAGGTTTAGTCTTTCAGTTGCTACAATATTCACTAATCAATGCAGTACACTCTGTCTCATTCAATCCTATTCTTAAAAAAAAAGAATGGAAAGTAGGATAATGTGGTTACGCTGAGGACAAATTGCCTTTTAATGACCAGCAGGTTTTCTTCTGGAGAAAGTGTGTCACTTAGACTTAGGAGTTCTACATTCTACTCAAAAGACTAGTTCCTTGAGATTCATTGATTCTATCAGTTAGTATTATTACCCAAACAACGGTTCAGTGGTAAATATGCTCGCTGACTACATCTGTGTAGTCCAATGTTTGATTCCCGAGTAACTGGATTCGAGGTTAACAACTAAACCCTGAAAAAGAGCACACACAAAGCTAGTGAAACTTCAACTCTTGAAGCCGAATATTCCACCCAGAATACAAAGGGATACAGACAAATGAAGTGTTCACTCACTCTTTTGTGGTATGGTCATTTGATTTTCTGTTTTATTTTTTCACTAATCTAAGAAGTCATCTCTGATTTATGTTGAAGTAAACAGTCCACTGGCAGTATACTAACAAGTCGCCTTCTTTTTTCACCAGTACAGACCTTAATATTTTCAAGATTTTTCAAAAACCAAAGTTCTTATAAACGGTAATAAAAACAAATTTATCTCCCGTATAATATGAAATGTATTCATGTGTAAATAATAGTAGCAGTAGTAGTAGTAGTAATAATAATATTAATAAACAACTTTAAGCCGAACTTAAATTCTTAAATTTAAAGGTATAGAAGGTTTTTAAACAAAACAACCCAAAACAATGGTCACTTGAATAGTAGTAGTCCTCTTAATGATTGTGTGTGTTGTAACAATCATCTTAATTGTGTGATCGCTTGACTGATTGATCATTAGGATTAAAAATCCTGATCCAAATGTCACAAAAAGAAGAATGAGAATGAAATAGGAATAGAATCCAATAGGAGAGAGAGAGAGAGGGAATAAGAGAAAATCGGGGGTGGGGGACAGTAAGAAGGAGAAGGAGAAGAAGACGGTGGTCGTGGGTTTGTCTACTCAACACTGATGACTGCATTAATCAATTGGCCTTCCCCTCCCCCTTCTCTTTATCTTATTAGTCCACTGTACATAAATAAATCCATCAGAGATGCACAGATTTTTTGCCTTGATTTACCTTTAGTCAGATAAAGAAAGAGGAAATGTCATTTAGTTAGTTTTTTTTCTTTCTTTTTTATGTCAGTATGATTGAAGGGATGATTACAAAATTAAGAACTACTCAAGGTTTAATAAATCAATAAATTCGTTACTTTCATTTCTGCTCTTTTTTTGTTAGTGTTGATGCATTCTAGTTGTATTTGATATATTAGTTATAATTTTAATTGAATATCGGTTCTGTTTTCTCTCTCAATGCATTACTTGTGAGTAAAAGAATTAATTTTTATTAAATCTTAGTCATATTAGTCAAACTAACTAATTACATTGAATGTGTATGAATAAATGATCAATCGTATTTCAGTGACTAAATTTTAACTAGGACAACAACGAAATCTCATAAGAAAGCAGTTTTGAAATTGATTAATAGTTAAATAAGGTTAAGTATTACCTAACTAGTGTCGGTGACTACATTTAGACAAGATGATTGTGAGGCTGGATGACAAATTCTGTCACAGAAAGATTTTGTGTTTAAACGATGACTAAAGTTAGGTTGGGAAATGCTCAATGTTTCAACTGTATAACTCTACTCATAAGACGCTTTTTGGGGGGCGACATTAATTTCTTTATTTGAGTTCGACCACAGATTGATATCACTTAGAGGACCATTGAAAACCAGATACAGGAAGTACTCAGAATCATCGGCAGTACACACCCACCACAGAGTGTTCAAACCTACAACCTTCTGGTTACAAGTCAAGCTGGCTCGCAGACCATTCAGACACTGGGAACCGATTGAATGACCAGCACATCAATTCTAACCTCTACTAATTCGTGATTTAGCGCCACTGACACCAACCACTGTCATCGGTGGGAACTCCATTCTCACTCCCTACTAGATGGACATCACTGGTCACGGCTTCTCACTAGAACTCCAGGAAATTCCGTCCTGTGACCAGTCACTAGCGAGTATCAGACTAATTTCCTATAGTTGGTTTTGCAAAGATAAGATTTATCTTTACCAGTTGCCCTGTAATCGGGAGATCATGGGTTCGAATCGTGGTGGTGGATGCGTACTGACGATGTTTCTCAAACTAAAATGAGACAGCTGGCTGTGCAGTACTCCATGTGGCAAGTTTTCAATGGTTCTCTAGCTGATATCAATCGGCGACAAACTGGTAAAAACAAACAATCTTCGCCAGCTTTTATGAATATTCACAATTAAAAAAAAAGAAAACTAATGTTTCCTCATTCAAGTCTTTATGTTTGACTGATATATCACACATGGGTAGTTGAAACTAATCATGTTGACGAGTAGGATCTATCATCTTGCAGTTTTTTTTCTTGGTGTGATTAATGTTGTCGAGCAGATTACACACTGTGATCTGAATATTTGGGGTTTTTTGAAGGATACTCATAAGAATTTTTATATCAGTTAAAGAACCATTTAAAACCAGACACAAGGAGTATTCGGAACAATCGGCACTACACACCCACCACAAAGTGTTCGAACTCACAACCTTTCGGTTACAAGTCAAGCTGGCTCGTAGACCATTCAGACATTGAGACCCGACTCAGTGACCAGCACATCAGTTCCAACTTCTACCAATTCGTGATATTAGCGGGAACTCCATCCTCACTCCCTATCGGATGGATCTCATTGGTGACGACTTCTCCCTGGAACTCCAGACGACTTCGTCCTGTAGCAAGTCACTAACGAGCATCAGATTAATTTTCAAGGATGTCTGAATATTTATTTATTTGTCAGAAGAGGAAGAAGGGCATTAGTTTAGTTTGTTTTTGAAAAAAAATTATATAACTACTGAATTATTTGTTATTTCTAGTAGGTTCACGTTCATTCTAGTGGAAAATATTCCCTTTTAAAAAGGTTCATTGTTTCAATTCCAGCCTTATTGAAGAGTTATTCATATTTATTATCATTTAATGTCATTATTACTGGTGAAATAACAACAAGAAAGAAAACTCAAGCTTCTACTTGCATTCATTCGAATGTTGTGTACTAGTTACCTGTATGCCTACACAAATAGCTCAATTCAAGTAGGATAGATTGAGACGTAGTTCCTCAGGTCATTTACTTATATTGTCTTATCATTAAATTATAATCAGACATGTAACTATTAATGCTAACGATAATAAAATTTATTTTTTTCTTTTTGTATCTCTTCAGTTATAAGGCTACTACTTGTATTACCATTCGGGCATAAATTGTC